CCAGAGACTCCATATTTTACAACGGTGGAAAAATGTATAATAATTTGACTATGGACATAAGATCTGCCAATATAAATGACTTCCAATTCAGGAAGTTAGTCAAACAATTTCTATCTGATAGACCCTATTATACTTTGGATGAATATTTTAACAATAGCATTTAACTGACTTACACATATTTTTTATCTTTACTTATTATGGACCTCTTAAGTTGTTACTTTTTATGTCTACTCTTTTATAAAGTTGACTTTTACTTTTTTATATATACATATCTTTTATATCCTCCATTTTAACATAGTTTGTACCCATGCACCATTAATATTTTAATTTCAGTTGGTATGTATTGCATTTTTTAAGTATGTACTACCCAAGCTTTGTCTACAAGATTATGTCTTATGCTAATAAAGCATATTATTATTATAGGATGAATGATCACAGTTATCCTGACTAACTAATAAAAATTCCTCAGAAAGTTTAAAAATATGGAATCGATTGATGTACTTATGTACCGGGTGTTCCGTTGAAAAAATATAAATTTGGTAGGCTACGCTTACATAAAATCACCCAGTATGTGGGAAAATTATTTTAGAAGATAGTTTTGATTGATATCTATGTGAAAAAACAGATCACATATTCGTTAACATAAATGCATTGGGCCAAAGGAATCTTAAATCTTTCAAAGGAAGTTTAAAACAATAAACATTGGAAAGCCAATTCAAACAAATCTGAGTACATCTTATTCATCAAACTACAAAATCAATTAATTGAACAAACACTATTAATCTCCTTTTTGAATACTACAATATTCCATAAGTACTAGTGAAAAGACAATAATAACGTTTAATTACCTTAGATGTTCCATTACTTTTAGCAGCTGGAATAATACTGACAGCTCCGTTAAGATTCAAAGAAGAAGGCAAAGTGGGTGATTTCTGAGGAGATTCTACCTTTTCTTTTGGTTTAGCCGTAGCTGTTACTGTTATACCTCTTGTCGCCAAAATATTTGCAACAGCTTTGGCATCTGATTTCTTCGGACTGGCAGGTTTTGGTGGAGGATTTCTAACACTTAGTGTAATGGAATCGGAAAGATGCATAATGCTGCTCTCCGCAGGTTCGGGGGTACCACCCTGGAAAAAATAAGTAGTATTAAAAAAGTAATCAATGACGAAATGCTTCTTCCAATGACAATATTAATAACAGAAGTAAATCTATCAGAAACACTTCTTCCACACTAGTATAAAAACACTGTCTCTTGATGTGCGTTTCGTTAACTAAGTTAGCACATCTGGCCATCTGTGGTGCCATCAGTACCACACTGTCAACGGCCATGAAGATCCTTCTAAATCTAGATCTACCTCGTCTCCACATTTTTCTGGAGAGAGAGGCTAGATGGACTGCATATAGACTTGTGCACATCGCCAATTGCACAAGTCAATAGACTGCTGGTCGACACTGGAAGTCACAGCAATCTGGGACTGACCTCTGACATTATGGCTCCAACTGTCAACAACGATCTACCTTATACGGTACTGTTCCCAAGTGAGGACCGGATCTTCCTAGAGAAGGAAATATAAAGAGCAGATAGTTGTTGGTGCACAGATGGATAAAAAACACCTTCAGGTTCGGTTGCAGATTACCATTCTTATTGATAGTAGAATATGTTGACATACCTGTACACTTTCTATCTGTGGCAGACCTCCATCAGTATTCTTTGGCTGCATACAAATCACCTGACAGTCGTCGTCATCTTTATCAGGAGTCAGCATATCAAACCGCTTCTTTTTAGCCTGCAGTTGCTGCATTTGTTCTGGGGTTCGTTTCACTGGAGATGGTTGCTGGCGAATACCATTGGGAGCGTTCGGCATTCTCGGCCTGACTGTTCTCAATGCAGTCATGCCTACTCCACTTCTTGGTCTCATCATAGGAGCCCTTTGACGTGTTAGAGGTTGACGTTGACCTGAGATACAAAAATAAAACAATAATAATATTAACAGGTATTTTGAGATTTTGTAGTAATATGCAAATAATATAAAGAGATGTAGATTTTGGTAAAACATTTTTTTATAAAAATTAATATAATAAAAGCACAATAGACATTTATGTATTTGGAGATATTGGAGTATTATTTTTCTATTGTTGAACTTCAGGCTTCAGTTCCATCATTATTATATTATATGATGGGACTGAATAATAATTATGCTCCCTAAGTGGCTTGAGGAGCCACTTATTGCCAAAACACTAACGTTGATCAAACTCACCCATAGTTGGTCTTGGCCCATTCGGCATTCTGTTTCCAGGCGCCTGTGGCCTAGGCGGAATTTGTCTGGGAGGCATGGGCTGTCTGTACGGTGTCGATTGCTGTTGTTGTGGTTGCTGCTGCTGTTGTTGTTGCATGGGCTGATTCATATTTTGCGGCTGTGAAGTGGGTGGCATTTGGTTCTGATTCATAGGAGGCTGATTCATCGGAGGGTGACCCATTTGCTGCTGATTCATGGGTGTCTGCCCTAATTGGGTGAGCTGCGGTTGGGGAGGAGGGGGCATATGTTGTGGGGGATATCCTGGAGGTCCTGGCGGGTAGTACATGGGATTTGGAGGCCTGTATGAAGAACTATCATAGTATTTTCAAAACAGTTTGTATAACTGAAGATTTACAAAGCAACAAAAAATATAATAGTTCCAGTCATTTGCAGCCAATATCAGTGAAAACTTTAGAAGACAAAGGAGTATTACAAAAAAGGACATTATCTACCATTCAAATTAATAGACCTAACAAAGGCATACTATTCTTCATGATAAAAATGAACTACACATCTGGTGGAGCCTTTTTATAAATGATTTGAAAATGAATTGGCCAAAAAATGTTCCGTTACAAAAATAAACTGAGTAATTTCATAAATTTATCAAATTTTAAATTTTTTTCTCATTTCCTACAGATTTTTTTAATAACATTCATTATTTTTCAGAAGAAGCCATAATACTAAAAACATCAATAAAAAACTAACTAGTGGTGTTAGTGGTTCTTCAAGTTTGGTACCATTTATTTGTGGTANGTAGGATTTTTTCACCATTAGGCATAATTTTATAAAACCAATCTTTTGAGAGATGACGAGTGTCACCTTTTATTTTGGTTCCGTGCCTAGAAACAGTGGCAAATGGTCCTGCTTTGTTTTGGAAGTATTCACTTCTTTTTTTTTATTATTTCAATGCGAACATTGTAAGGAACAGGAATACTCCATTCTGACACATCATTCAATTGAGGAAATGGTTCATTGGTTGCAATAATAGTACTGCTACTATTATTTTCAGCATCTTCTTCGTTTGTGTTGATTAATACTGTACTGTCAATGTTGCTTCCTGAAGATGAGCTGATATTATCTAAATCGTCTCTTGCATTTGCATCAAGGAGTAAATCAGTTTCTTTTGATGAGCTTGGGCTGTCATCAGTATTTGTAACATACTTAAAAATCGATCCAGACATACTCTTGAGCTACATCCAATCTAGCCTGTTTGGCTTTCCTTTGCTGAAATCCACTTTTTCTTTTGAATGTATTTTCACTTGATATTTGTTTCTTACACTAAAACAAAAAGCCAGTTGTTATGGTCTATAATATGAGAGTATTTTCTCATAAACTAGTTGAGCAATATGAAACGAATTTACTAAAAACTTCAATAACTCTTTTTAATCTTAACAAAACAGCATTTAAGTTTCTAAAATATATTTTTTCTTTTTCTATAACTATAGAAAAATACATGTGTAACAATTCACGCCAACCAAACACAACACACTTCATGAAACAAATGAAAAATGTTGCAATTGAGACGTCAAAGATAGCGATTATGGAACGGGGAATCCCTCACGACAGCGTCAGGCTCTTTTGAGGGAATCCCCGAATTATACAGAGCTGAGCTAGTGCTAGTGGAGCAATTCCCCAAAGATAAATTTTTGTGCTAGCGATTTTTGTTTGTTTGTACATTGTTCTTAAAGTTGAAATACCTGGTGGGTGTCACCCCAAAAAAGGTAACACCCGGTGCGGCCTGCCCCCGCCGCCCACCCCCTTTGCTACACCACTGGATATATCAGTTACTGTTAATGTCATTAAAATTGTTCTAGAGTATTAATACTGAATCCAACCCAGCATTATCTAGTTATACAGAAAAACTAGACGTGTGAAATATTCTTTCCATTAATTTATCTTATTTGGCAGGCATAATGCATAAAAACAAGATACTGATTGATTGGACATATCAGAGGTTTATATTATGCAATATTTTATCCAGTGAATTTTTCAATTTACCTTTTATTATGCTTAAGCAGATTTTCGGTCGATCTAGATTCATTAACTTTTTTTAATTTACCTAATTAAGTTTTGACATGAAATGCCAATATTTTACCAGTTTTTTAGAAGTTATATTGTATTGTACCTAACTGTTCATTCAAAATCTACCTGTTTTAGCAGATTTAATCATTTATCTAATAATTTACCTACTGTTATATATGTAGTATAGTTGGATGTGTTAGAACTAATGAAGCTACCGTGTAGCAAAACACCTTTTAAATAAAATTCATTGTGAAAATTCTATATTCATTATCATGGATAGTATTAATTTTTTAGATTATGTAGGGTATATTACTGGAGTTTTTTCCCAACAACAAATCGTTATTTTACTGGATGGTTTACCTGTATGGGTTACCTTTATAGCATAAATAGGATTAGCTCCAACTAGTTCTTAGTTTTAATCTTCCTCTTTGAAGATGATCACTTGGTGATCGAAACACGTGTCGAGGTGTTAAAAATAACGATTTGGTGTTGGGAAAAAAATCCAGTAATATTCATTACTACACCAAAGGTTCCAAACAGTGCATCATAAATTATGTAGGGTTATAATCATGAAAATGTGACTTCAACACAAAAAATATTCATCAATATTCTCAACAAGATCAACTTGTTTCTCCCCCTATCACATAAAAACATTCATTATTTATTTATAATATTTATCTGACTTACTGATATTGGTAGGGCTGATGCATTGGTTGTGGCGGATATGGGTACATTGGAGGTGGTTGATAAGATGGTTGTGGAGGTCCTGATGGAAATTGCTGGATATTTATCAAAACATTTTGTTGATGCATTCCATTTCCAGAAGGTTGCAATCGAGATACCTGCTGTGCTAAAGCTTGCATAGGTAGACCAGTTAGAGAATCCAACGGATTTGAGGCCTGTGAAGATGAATTGTAGAGTTGCTATAAAAAAAAATAGTTAATCATAAAATCATAGTGGTCAAGTAGTTTTTTCAACTTACCATTGCCCCTCTATTCCTCTCTTCAAGGCGATCAAGAGATATGAATTCATTGTCACTTGAATGGAAGCCCAAATCTTTTGCCCTCTCATTATTGTTGAAGAGTGATAATATGCTGTTGTCATCGTTGTCAGGCAATTTTAATGGATCCTCTAGGGAAGGTGTTGACCACAAATTGGAACTATCATTTTGATCTAAAAATAAGCTTCCTGTTTACAACAGGGTGAACATTTTTATATTTTTGTAAATTTTTTTAAAATTGATGAAGCGTTTTTAGATGCGTTTTTCCAATACTCAAAACACCAATAAAACCTAGAGGGTTAGGTAAGGTTAGAGTGAGCAGTGGTAATACATAATTAATTTATTGGGAGAAAACTTTGTAACTTTTAACGTTTCCATCATCAACAAAAAATGTGGGAAACCTTCAAAGAAAGTATTTATTTCATGTCTTCCTCTCTTTGGAAGTTTCCTACATTTTTTTTAATGATGAAGAAGTTATTACTTTTTTAATTAACAATTTCAAAAAAGTGACAATCGAAGTAGGTGTTGATTAATTTTCATTTTAGAATTTCATGATAAGTAATATTACAATAATAATGACTCATTTTATCATAATATTTTACAGTATGTATTAATATTCTGATTTGAATGGTGATTTCATAATAAATTATACTGAGAGAATTTTATACTGTCCTCCTAAGCCAAAAAGAAGTATCTCAAATTTCACTGAATTTTTTATTTCTTTATATAAGAACACTTTAAGTTGTATTTAATCCATCTCCTTGGCGAAATAGACGTATCTCGTGCATATTGTGCAGCTAAAGTGTTAGAATTATAAGACGTATCTCAAAAATTAAACAAAAACTAAAGCAGTGTGGACGTTACTCATATTTTTAAGCAAAACGGCCGTTTCTCAGAGATGCGTCGACTTTGCCTAGGATTTCTGGCAATTAACAATTTGACCTTCACAAAGATACGTCTACATCACTTACAGTTAGAAGCTTCCCTGATTGATACCTTAATTTGCCATAGTATCAGCGCTGTAAAGGGTTCTTATTAGCCTCATCTGTAAAGTTTGTTGTTTAGTCATACAAAGAACAGTCTCGATGAAAATTGTGATGATTGTATGACGTGGAGCAAACATATTGAGAGAGCAGACAAATCTCGAGCAAAATACAGAGAAGATTCCACAAGAGATGAAGATGTAGGAGAAATAGTGTATTGCGCTGATTTAGAAAAAGTTACCACGGCTTGAGATGTTTAAAAGAAGCGATTTTTACAAATCATTTACTTAATAGTGTACAACGAAAATTTTGTTCCAGTTGGAAAAAAAAACAGCAAGCCATTTGCAGCTCTCTGGCATGAAGCTTTGTTCAAACGAAACAAAGAAGAGTTGATTAGTACATTTTAACAGTTCATAGCAAGAGAGACGTTTCAAAAATTACGTTATGGCTTGACAATTGAACAGCGCAAAACAAGAATTGGGCATTATTTTCATTTTTAATATATATCATAAAATCCGATTAAATATGTAACAATGAAATTAATATGAAATACTTTGTGCCGGGCCATACGTTTATGGCTGCCGACTCTTTTTATCATAGAGTGGAGGTTTCCATGAAAAAAATGGGCAACAAGCTTTACGGCACAAGGTGCCGTAAAAGGTGCTGCTCATAAAACCGACGTCCTGCCAATGGAGCTACAGCATTTTTACATTTGGGAAGATTTTTCCTCACAATAAAAATCAACTCGTACAGAGTCGAGGCCATATTTACATGATTTGGTCCAGGTAACCGTTCACAGAGGATCGTATAATATCAAGTATAAAAATTACTTTGATGCTCCATTATTTGATCGGTTGCAATTCTGGGACACTCTTCCAGTTTCAGATGAGAACTGAACAAAATTTATGTTTTTGTATTGTGTTTTTATATTCTAGTTTAGTTTTGGGTTAATTTTCAGTATTACTTTCTGAAAAATTCTTTTAATATCCCACAAATGTAGCGTATTCTTCATGTATCACATTATTAATAAATCTTTTCTAGATAATTTTTATTTATTATTCAATCTGCTATCCAAGTCCATGTGGTAAGAATAGAACGTTATCTATTAATTAATAGTTAGCTCAAAGAGATGTATCTCAAATTTTTGTTCACAATTCCTTAGCCAATTAGCCGTATCTCAGTTTAAAACTAAAATAGTGGTTTATATGAGACAAGTTAATTACCATGTCATTGTCGTCTCAAACTTTATTGTATTTATTAAAAAAAAAACATAAATAAATTTGACTATATAGGTGCGGTTTTGAAATTCATTAAAATTCCTTGTATCTCAAAACAAAAAAATTTTGAGATACACCTTTTTGGTTTAGGAGGGCAGTATAATAAACCTATTTGTGCATTATGCTGCAATGTAACCAGCAGGTGTGCTTCTCTACAGTGTTAGTTATAGATTGATAGTATTTTCAAATATTACAAAGATTTTAATAAAAAAAAAGGATCACAAATAGTTGAATCACTCTCTCAGGTCTTTTTGTTACATTAATTCAATCGTTTAAATCAAGAGGTGAACATTTTGGTGTTATCAATGTCCCTTCTTCAAGTAGAAAATAAATAGTGTTAGTAGATACAGAAAATGTGCTCACTTAAATTAGTTTTTTTTTCAGTCGATTTTTGATGATCCTTATTGTATTTTCTGCAGAAATAAGATCCCGGAAAAACTGGAACTATACTCCAACCACTATTTAAATTGCACTGCTCTGCCTATGAAAAATTTATAATTGTTTGAATTAAATATACAATGAGAATGTCAGCTCACATTGAAAAGATTTCCAGGTTGTTTTGCAACTTGTAGTTTGATGATCTTATACAATTTCACTTTTTCTTCAGTGAATGAGACATTTGATAATGATTCGCTCATGATAACTTCTAGATGTTCTTACTTGAAAATTGTTTAAACTGGCACAACTCACAAAAAACTAATAATAAACTTATTACACAAATGAACATTCATCATTCACCTGACATTTGATCACTTATGTCATAGGTCATATGCTTTTCCAAACTTTGGTGGATTTGTGTACACTTGATAAGCATGTAGCAAGTGATAATTATCAATTATTACAAGTTAAATTCCTCACTTTCCAATGGACACGTTTACGCAGAAAAATTATCAATTATCGAGTAACAAGTGGCGAATAGAAGTTTGTCAGCTCTGAATTTTCTGACTTTAATTGTACGAAATTTTTTATCAGTACGCACTGTAGGGATGAGCATCGTTAGCCGATGTTTTCAAAACATTGATGTCATCATTGACATCAATGTCAACATTGATGTCAATGTTTTGTGCTATCGGTAAATGTTCGATGTTATACGTATATCGATAGTTTGGAACTACCGTCGATGTTTTTGAATGGATTGTTTATAGAAATTTTAGTCACGGAATAATTCGATTGAAAAATAAAGAATATTCGATCATTGCAATCATCGATTTTGTCGATTACTTCAACTACCTATACTTTGAATTCAGAGTAACATGAGACTTTGAATGAATATCAGTTTTATTTTAAGAATGACACGGGACATGGAACAACATTTCTACAATTTGAAATATTGTATAATTTTTAGAATACCGAGGAAAATTGTACCTACACTGTTTTAGTTTTCTGGTTATCTGTCACTTTGTCACTTGATTACGAATCACGACGTGAACGAAATAATCATTCGTTTATGAAGATCAATCTCTCGAATCTCTTACTTTGATTCATTTAAATAATTTGATTATGTATTGTTGATCATCCTAAATTATATACATTCAACAAACAAAGTAACCATAACAAAGACAGATGCGTGATCAAAGCATGATCACCACGCACATTTGCATCTATTGGGTAAAATAAAAAAGCCTCCTTTGCTGGCCAATCAGATTCAACTGCAATCGGCTGGCAGAATTCATGTTACAGTGTCGAAGCGATCAAATACGTTTTAACGCATGTGTGTACATATAACGTATTTTAAAGTTTAAAATATTTGAAATTTCAAGTACTGTACCCCTACCCTCCAACTAAAAAAATTTACTACACCCAGCCGCATATTATAAAAAAAAGTCGTTCCTTAGTACGACTCTGTATAAGTAGCCCTGTCTGGGAGATCACGTGCACTATGCATAATGATGTTTTGGAGCACTTCTATGCTTAGATGGACAGTCGATTGATATCAAGACAAAATTGGTTAGCTAACCTGCTGGAAGTGAACATAGACTATAATTGTAGACATCAGACATTGGAAGTTTGAATATGTCCTACGTAGGTAGTTGTACTCAAAAACATTGATGATTTTCACAAGTAAATGAATATATTCATGTAATTTTTTCATATTTATCAATTATCACAATGAATAAATTTCTGAATTTAAATTTTATTATTCATTTGAAAAATTGATCAGTTTTACATCGAAGTTTTACGTTGAGGATACATCGGTGATTGAAGGTCGCCGTTTTTTCACATCGATAATTTTGGTAGATGTTAACATTAATGTTTTCCTTGCAAAGCTCTTGGTTAGTACACACTGCGCAAATGATCGCTGACTGATCCATTTCAGAACACAGACGGTAGGTAGAAATGAGGTATAACAACCTAACCTAATAATTTTCAAATTTCAAAACATTGTAGGCTGTGTTCCGTTTAGTTCCATGGTTTCTTGAATAACTTGTTTCTATAATCGCTGTAATGGAAATTGTTAATGATGTGTTAAAAAATAATAATACGTATACAATAGTCGATATTAGGCGTATTCGGGTTCGCAGTTCGAACGATTCTAGAATGGTTGTGGCTTTTTAATTTCGAATGCATAAATGTCATCGTTTTTGTTACTTGTTCCTTGCTAATTGATACGTATAACTTGCTACTTGCTAATTGATTGCTTTGTCACTAAAATATAAGACATTCGGCCAATCAAGTACAAACATATTACACTTCTAAAAGTGAGGAAAAGTTCATAGTAGCCAGAAGAGGTGTGGCCTATGACAAAAAAAAGTACTGTCAGAGAATACCTTACAAAAGGGACATTCAGCACGGAACAGGAACCATGAACTTTTTGAGGAACTCGAGGTGATTACTGTCAACCTGAAAAATTTCCTTTGATTGGCTAAAGAACTTGAACATGGTAAACTCAAGATAGTTTGGTTGAAATTGTTAAAAAGTTGGCCTAAAACCTGCCAAGATGAAATTACTTGATTAGTTTCAAATAATTTGAATTTACCGCTTAAAATGACATTAAACATCTCGAACACGGAATATAGGTTCCAGAAACTTGACTTCTCAACATCAAAGTGCCACCAGATGAGTGACTCTTCTGTAAGGTATTCTTTGGTACTGCTATTAAGGAGGGTGGTTTGTTGTTCATTACATTTTAAGGTTGCTTCGTTCGCATTATGAAAGCCACTTAGTGTTTTGAATTCATTGATGCCTCTGGAGACACCCTACATTTTGTTTTATGAAAGAGAGGACATTGGCAGATCAAGATCTTCAAATGATGTGGTGCTGCATGTTTTTCCGGGTTTTCCTGCAGCTGAAAAAGCGAATGCGCCATTGGAATCAATGAAGTCGCCCCGGAGCGCCAATTATTTTTATTGTTTCATAATTTCATAATTTCATGATTTTTATTACTTTTTTCTTTCCAGTTTATTACCTCTCATTATTCCGGATGCCACAAATGACCGTAAAGTTTTTTGTAATCGAAACTTAGTTTTCGAATATTTGTGCTTGTCACGATTTAAATAGTTCAAAGTTGATTGATTACTATTCTGAGTATCTGATTATCTGAAGTAATTTTGGAAAAGTCTAAATAAAATCAAGTACTTTGATCATATTGGTTGTTTGATTTGTATGAAAATTATTAACATATGTATCACCACACCAGTGTACAGGCATAAGTTACAAAGTTTCATTCAAAATTCAACTGAATATCTAATACCTACTACATAATATCGCAGTAAAGGGTTATATGAATATCGTTAGTTGAATGCTCAAGATCTACCTATATTGTTATTTGTGCTTCATGAAACACATCGTTTTGTTAGTGGCCTGTGATCAATTTTGTATTGTATTTAATTAGGTAATGTGAGAGTTGAATTAGCACAGCTCCTAATACACGAAAGCACTGCTCAATTTTTCTGAGAAGATGGAATAGCTATTGCAGTAACGTGATCGTACGAAGATATATTTGAATTCAAATGGTTGTCAATTGTGTGCCTTAACATTATGACATCCGATTCCGACTCATTCACCTTCTTTTAGAAAACTAATGCCTGAGATTTCGTAGCATTGAATTCTACTTGATAAAATTGTACTAGAAATAGGTCTCATTTGATGAGTCTGAACAAAATGTTTTTGGAAGTGCTAACAATACATATACAAGATTAAATCACAGGATAAATAAATGTATCAAACAATTAAAGAGTACTTACTGAAACTGGGATCTCCATCGGGATTATCGTCCGTGATTTCTGTTATTGTGAGAGATTCCTTCAGCAATCCGGTAGTTTTAATTCTGATCTTGGGATAATCAACAGTAGGTTCTGGAGGAGGTGTGGGTTCTGCGCCCGGAATGCTTCCGTATTCAGAAGCATTGCTCTCACTGTTGGAGTTGGTGTTGAGAATGCTGTCAGTGGTAATTGTACTGTTGTTTGGTTTATCCACGGAACCGGAAGTTCCAGAGTCGCTAGGAACTGGGGAACCTATAAAAAGTAGCTCTTTCAGGGAGTTCTATTAATTTTTATTTAATACAAGTATCAGTAAATGAAATGTTTTTAAATTAACGTATGATGAGAGTCGAATGTAACATGTATGTAACATAGTACCATTACGAAAAGTTAACGAATACTAAGCTATAGTTGATAATTTAATTGAAACCGGTTTGAAACGTTGTGTCAAAAATTCAAATGCAAACAAAACGAAAGCCCAATTAAGCCGATCAATGGTCCAAGTGATGCAATAGTCAAAGAATACAAACAGCTCATAAAAATTTGGAAGGAACAGACTCGCTTTCAGTTCAACAAATGTTTCTACATACATCATGAGAGCACGGCAATAGAAAATCAACAGGAGAATGGCAGAGAATGTTTGTTTTGACATCAAAGAACTTTTGTGCTCTTGGTCTCTGGTACATATTATTCTGATAGCCTGATCGATTTACGAGTATTATTAGCCACAGGCACCGCATGTTATCTTGTAGATCCTTTGGTTCCCTAGAAAGAGTTTGTTTTTTCGTGTGGGTAGTGAACGCGATATCGTTGATTGTCGTTCATAGATGGCCCAGGTATTTTGTCTTCCCAACATTCTTTCATTGAAGACCTTTGATGAAGAGTGGTATTACAGCTTTATTTCTAGTGGGGTGTCTTGTATCTATCTGGTTTTGAATTGATTTATTGATTGAATAACAAAGATTATATCAGCGAAAGAGAACAATTTCTCTTTAATTTTTTTATACTAAGCAAAGTTATTCCGCTCTCTGGGCTACTTTTCTTCTTCTGTTATCTGAACTTCATCTCTTTTGGCCAAGACTCTCTCTTGACAACAAACAACGAGTTGCAGTTTTACTTCACATGATCGAGAAGAACTACATCAGGCGTATTAGCTTGTATGAGCCCGAGGGTGGGAAATGAATACTTCCAATAAATTCAAAGGCAACACCGGTATCTCGTCAATACCATACGTTATTATTATTACTTAAAACAGTCACATACTTGTCACCACCCCATTGAGTTTGGATACAAATGATTAGTTCTGAAGTGGGCAAACGAATTTTCCACGTAATTTTTTGTCAAATTAATAATAGTTACCATGCGGGAAAAGTAACCCCACCTTAAGGTAATAGGTGCATTCGTATTAGGTTTTTGAGGCCCGCGTTATTTTTTTTTTCGGCATTATATCTCGATAATTGCAGATATAATCATATTTCAACAACTGTACAATGAACAAACCATGATGGGATCCGAGTTCCTTGGCACTATCGAATCCTGGCGAGAAAGTAACTCGCTCTTCGTTCGAGTTATGTTCTTCCGCCAAGGATTTTGGCTCCGACTGCGTGGTTTCCTCGTCGGTATTCTCTTTCTTTATCTCTGCCAGATTGGAGGCTGATTCCGAAAGATTTTGGGACGAAGGGTCGAGCGGAGAGCTCTGGGATTTAGTTGAATTGTGCGAAGGGCTGTTCAGCGGCGACCCCAGATGTGTCGGGGAGCTGATTATTTCGAAGCTGTTACCGCTTTTATTTTTCAGTGTAATTTTGAGAGGCGGCAGCTGGGTACGTTCCAAAATGATGTGCGGTTGCTTTATATGGTGGAAGAGATGGGCATACAGGTAATGTTTGTTTGTGAAGTTTACGTTGCAGTCCCAACACCTGAGAGGAGTGAATTCTTCGTCGGATTCTGAAACATAAAAAAGGCGAAATTATAACATGGAATAAGAATTCCACTGGAATACAATAGACTTTCAAGTTTGGCCAAAATCGATCTCACTAATAATTTCGATCTTCTCCACGGATTGGAACTACTAAATACGGGGTGCTCAGGAGTTCAGCTTTAGAACCTATATTAACGATATTTCTAAACTAAATATATCTGAGGAGTTCACTTTGTTTTTAAATGGCACTACTATATTTTGGCTTAGCACAACATGATAAAGTGTATTTATAGAATGATATACAACAAGAACTTAAATAATAAAAACATGGTGTGACAATGAACCATTTACGGATTACGTCGGCATGACCACGTATCTCAAAAATCAACATCTATCCATGTACGTTTATAAAATGATGAGAAATGCAAATGATATTATTCGAAGGAGTTTACTTCCTAGATCTCATACACATTCTATTAATGTAAGGGACAAGGGCTTACTTACCATGCCACATCATTCGACAGCTACTTTCCAGAGGAGCTTTACCTTTAAAAATTTCAAGTAGAGGGACTCAATTTTGAGAGCATTTAAAAAGTTTATAAAAAAATCTTTACTATCTGCACAGTGAATAATGTAGGTAAATGTTGGTCGAACAAACTTAGTAATGTCTGGTTTTTTAGTTAGTATTATTTTTAATTTTGTAATCTATAGGGCCATATGGTATTATCAACTCTAGATGAGCCTCAGGAGGTCAGATGTAAGAGTTTCCGAAGGGTAAATCTCGCCTCGTGAAGTTCAAGCAAGAAAGAGATTTTCCTATAATATTTCTTCGAATTATGTAATAATTTGTAATCTCTATATAATAAAGACGATATTATTATTATTCAGTTTCCTCGGAACTAACTGATTAATCTTCAAGTGCGGATTGAAAATTTTATTTATAGACTTAAATGACATGAAAAAAACATGCACGAATTTCTTAGATTTACATATTGGTAGTAGTTTCGAATTCAACGAACGTGTCACATAATTTTTAAATAGGTAGATTTTGCCGCTACAATGAAATTTCGATGAAAATGTTTCAGACTGCACAAAAAAAGTAATTAGAGCACTTTGAAAAATAGAGAGCTGATACTTGTACGAGAACTATTTTAAACATCAGCATACCCTTGTAGTGATTTTTATATTAATTTCATAAACAAACGTAATCAAGGTCTGAAAGTGGTCTGGTAAAGGTCTCTATTATTTATAACGGGTCACTAACAACAACTAACTGCAACATGACCCTGTTGTCCGTAAATCAGTTCCAGCATAATCCCTCTTCAAACATAATCGTGGAACAGTCCACATAATAAGCTTCGAAAACATACATACGCGCACGCGCATGCACGTACAAACACGCACACGCGCATGGAGAACCAATGAAAAAAAGACATATATTTTAAGAAACAAATGTATATCACTTGAATGGTTTGAGTAAATTATTTTATTATTATTTTTTGGGTTTGGATGTTATACAGGCATCCCTCAGTGTGGTTCTTTATTTCAATAAGAAAGTAAATAAAAAATCAAGCCTTTTAGGTTTTGTAAAAAAAATATTACGCCGAAGAATTTTATTTGGATATTCAGCACTTTATGGGACCATTTAGGTAAATTCATACTTCTTAAAAAGTTGACTGTAACCATAATCAGTGATTATTTTTATTTGTTTCAAGGTGGTCCTGCACAAAATTCAAAAATAAAAGTATGTTTTCTGTAACAGTTTGCAGGACAGCATTTATCACCTTTCTTTATTTAGGGTTTGCTAAACTAGGGTCATCATGAGCCATTTGGGCCACGAAACTTCCGGTTTTATTGCATTTATCGCTGTTTAACTAAGACCCAACCAACATGAGCTATAGATTTGAAACTTTAAAAAAATCTGTTCAAAATCTGTTTTTCCGTTAACCAGCTGTCACACCCCTACGAACGACAACCCTCAGAAGTCGAAACTTGTGCGAGCTAAGGATTAACGAGGCCTTACCTTTTAATGTGTGACTCCTAATACGGGTTGGACGATATCAAGTTATTATAAAATATAGTATTCCCAATACCAATTGGAACAGCACAGAGAAGGAATTCCCGTCTCGACATAGACATCGGCATATTATTTTTCAGTGTTTGTTTTTCAGTTACTTATTCTTACAATCATAGCAATTGATCACCCCATGAAAAAGTTATCTCAACTGAATTTTTCCACCATGGGTAATTATGAAAAACTTCGAAATTCAAGGTAGTTGATTTCCGAGTCGAAAACTCTAAAATACAATGAAAACATAAATAATCACACCGAATAATTCTCGTCAAACATATATTTACAAAATAATAGAGGCCAAAAAATTGCTAGAAAAATCAAAATTCTTCTTCGCTATATTCGGATGAGGTGGAATCATCATCGGGTTGAATAACGATCGGATTTATGGAACTTTGCACATAATATTTGTTCTCTTCTTTTATAACGTGGGCCACACAGTTCTTCTCCTCACTATTACCTACTTCATTCACCACTCGCCTTATATTGTCAAGCACCACAGCATTCAAAGTCGGTGACTGATTACATTTTCGCAAGCTTTCTTTCATTGTGGCCCAAACCATTTCAATTGGATTGAACACACAATAGTATGGAGGCAAACGTAAGAGAATATGACTACGTGTTTCACACATCGAATCAATAATATACTCTTTTTTGAAATTACGTTGTTTTATGGTCGCCGGAAATATCTTTTTCGTTGGAATCTTTTCGGGTATTTTCATGTCATGATTTCGCATGAAATCAACAATTTTTTTTTGTGTTATTGTTTGGTATTGTAGCAATAACCGAGAATGATACGAAGCGTTATCCATAACAATAACAGAGCTTGGAGGAATATTTGGGAGAAGCTGTTCACTGAACCAGGTTTCGAATAAAGCCGCAGTCACATCTTCGTGGTAATCAACAGACGAATCTTTTATATTTTTGGCTGACAGACGCAAAGCGTTAGGTACGAAACCACTTTCATTCCCGGCGTGCAATATTATAACACGTTTCCCCTTGAAGAAGGTGTGTTCAAAACACAATACTTGGTTTCGTCTACCCAGACATATTTGACAATATCATGTGTGTCAAACAAAGTTTCGTCGAGGTAGATTATATGTCTGCCGGATTCTCGGTTGCTTTTCATTCGCCTCAAATATTCCTGTCGGAGTTGAACAATGCGCGTCGATTACATTATGACCATCCGATTGTTCAATTTGAAATCACAAGACAATAAGACACCTCGTAGAGTTTCTAAAGATTTGTAATTGTAATCGGGATAGTCGAGTAATTCATACCAAATCATTTTCAAGGTTGGTACTTCATTTTTTTTGTATATACCATAAATTGTTCGCCGAATCACCCATTTCGAATCAAAATTCAGTTTGAGGAATTCATGCCATTTGATCAATGAAATTCAAGATACTACACTCCCAGATAATGCCAAATTGATTTCATTCGATGTAAAGAATTTGTTTCCCAGTATTCCTTCGAATGAAACGATTACTCTTGTAGAGAATCTATTGGACGAAAAGTCTATCAATCCGGTAGTGAATTAGGAAATATTAGACTTGCTTACGGTGTGTTTGTCACAGAATTATTTCCAATTCAATGAAACTTTTTACTCATCCTGCCAAGGTTTCATAGTGGGAAACCCACTTAGTCCTATTCTGGCAAAGATTTTCATGGACGATTTGGAGGGAAAAATACACAGTAACCCACTGGTAAGAAGTTTTGTGTATTGGTGTAGATACTAGGATGATATCCTGGTATGTTTCACAGGAACGAACAGACAGTTGACTAACTTTTTGAATTTCATCAATTCTCTCCACCCTTCTATCTATCTTATTCGCAATGGAGATGGAAAAGGATGACTCTATAAACATTTTTTGGACTCGACAATAACGAAAGTTAACAACAAACTTGGATTTTCAATTTATCGTAAACCGGCACATACAGATATTATCATTCATAATTCGTCCATCCACCCATATCAGCACAAAGTAGCAGCTTTCAACAGTATGATCCACAGACTGATGAATTTGCCCTTGTCAGAGGCAAATTTCAATAAAGAACTGAACATAATGAAACAAATAGCCGTCAATAATGATTACGATTGTGGTCTGATACATTCTTTATTATCAAAAAAGTTATACAGTCAAGCTTTGAAAGAAGTTTACCCAATTTGAAGAGAAGAGGATAAAAGGTATAGAACCTACACCTACTTAGGCCAACCCACTACAAATA